TCAAAACAAACTCATTATTTTGTTCACTGGCATAGGCTGTTCTAGTTCCACATGCCATGCCTTTTTCTGGATATCTCAGTTTCAGTTATTTTCCTTTAGTAACTGAACTCTTCAAGTTTTTGTTCACCTCTGCTGTGGCCAGATATTGAACTAATGAATCTTTGGGTCAAGTCAGTGGATTACTTCAACCAATGCTTTTATCCACTGGCCCAAGGGGAAATAACTGAAACTGAGATATCCAGAAAAGGGATGGCATGTGGTATGAGAACAATCTACCCCAATGGACTAAATAAAGTGTTCGGCTCAAAATTCCAACATATATCAACTGAAGAAGGCCAGAGCATACAAATGTTGTGAATATGACAATAAAGATGAGGACAACTGTCCCAGCAATGTAAATAGTGTAAATAGTTACAATACCTCATCTTAGAAATATAGACAGATGTTGACGGTGAATATGACAATAATGAGGACAACAATCCGGACAATGTAAATAATGTAAATAGTTACAATACCTCATCTCAGAAATAGAGACAGATGTTGAACAATAGATATTTTTAATCAAACAGTTCAGGCAAAAAAAAGGTGAATATAAATTGAATCAATGGATGAATAGTTACTAAATTTAGATCAGTCTGGTAAAAGGCATTAGTGATGAGGCACTGAATGAAAATCAAAACCAAACTCATTACAATAGTAATGGTGTGTGAGAAATATTTTGCAGAGTCATTTTGCAGTAAGAGAGCCAACAAAAGAAAGTCAAGGATACGTTTCATGTCGATAGAAGATTTATCATAAAAAACAATGGATAATATTTAACAGAAGGCTAAACATTTACAATGGCCACAGAAAGAGTGAAGTTAACAACAAAAAAAAAAGGTGTAAAAAAAAAAAACACACCTGTTACCATATTGGAAGTGAATATTTAGCAGACTTTCATCCATTAATATCAAATAACGGTGCTTCCAGAGAGTAGGCGTAAATGGGCACAGCATGATTTCCAGAGTTCTCAAAATGCTTTGGAAACCGGCATTTCTTCAAACTAGACACCCACCTGGACAGACAAGACAGTAACAAATGGTGGTCACTTACTAGAAGAAACAGCCACTTGAGAAAATGATGCTATTCTAGGAAAACTGTCAGTCTGGGTGACTGATATTTTCAGCTAAAATAAAAAATTGATGTTCCCATATCAATCTCATATGAAGTAATTGGTATACATCTTAGCAGATACGCTGTTAACACACGCACACTTTATATTATAGTAATATATTATTATTATTAATAGCAGGAGCTGTGTTACAGGCTTTAGTGTTGAGCGTTTCTCTATTCTGTCTTGGTCACACTCATTATATCATAGGTTCTAGAGTCACTGTATATCAGATCTCACAAGCCTTCTCTCTATAACCAGAAGAATTCCTTGTTGTGTCTAAATATTATTAGTCTCTAGCTTTCCTTGAATATTTTTCCCCCATTAGTCATTCTATAAATTGATTTACATGTTTGTTTTTTTTTTTTTTTATTTCCCAGAATAAAACTTGATGAGCTGGGATGAAACCGGTTGTTTTTAGTTTTATTAAATTTACATCAATACGTCTTGTAATTTAAATAAGAAATTATACTTGTTACTTGGTATTACAGAGTTTTGCACAACAACAAATTTATCTATCTCTCTCTCTCTCTATATATATATATATATTCAACCATGTTTCATTGAATAATATAGACATATTGTGTCTACTTATTTTTATACTGGTTCTTTCCCATTGTCTAATCAGTTTCTTGATGTCATGATGAAATTCATGAAGGAAGGTGCTGTAGTTTTATTTTTCCTTAACCCAAGTACACTCAATATTTTCCAAGATCATCTTCTGGAGTAAATTTCAAAATCAAACTTATTATAACTTTGATAAAAATTCATTCAGTTGCAATGGTGATTTAAATTTATCCATTTCAGTTATGGAATTATTTGCAAAACAAGCATTTCAATATAAAGGAGCTGACTAGAAATTGAATGAAATGTATTTTATTGCAGTTTCAATTTGTTTGTCTTTGTCATTTTCTCATGAAGATGATCTTGGAAAAGATCTAAAGTACTTGGGTTAAAAAAATGTTAGCACCTTCCTTGATGAATTTCATCATGACATAAAAGAAACTGATTAGAGAACTGGAAAGGTTCAGTATAAAAATAAGAAGACACAATATGTCTATATCATTCAATGAAACATGTTTGAATGAAGATGTGCTGCCTAAATATAAATACATATATGTTTTTATTTATCATATCTAATGCTTTTAATCTATTAATGGAATTTTTTATTGAGAACTGAGTTGATTGTTCTGAAGAGTTGGGTTAAGAGTTTTGCTATGTCTTTTGTTAATTTGTAGAGTTTGCTGTTTATCACAGATACTTTGTGTTCAATGGGGTGCCTGGCTTGTGTGTCTTGGGTAGGCCATAAAGCCTATTTCTCTTGGTTGGCAACTAACTTTCTGAGCCTTAGACATGACAAATAAAAACATGGCTAGCTTGGATATAAAATCCCTGTGCACAAACTGGGTCACAAACTCAGATCCATACAATAGAATATGTTAGCCCCATCACTGATATTGAGCACTTTCCACTAAGTACTGCACATACAAAAGCAAATATATATATATATATATATATATATATATAGATAGATAGATAGATAGATAGAGAGAAAGAGAGAGAGAAAGAGAGAGAGATGACAAATAGGAAATATATATATATATATATATATATATATACACTCACACATTGTTTTCGATTTGTCAACTGCACAGTATAGTAGAGTCCGTTGGCCACCATCTGTGAGAGAAAAAGCACCATGATGCAATTCATGGTGCCAGAAATTTTGAAATGGCCTGCTATACTGCTTGGCATTCATGCTGAAAGCTCCAATACAAACATTTCAGAGTGCTTGGGTATCAATCATAGGATAGTGCAGAGGATTCAGAAAGAGTTGGATGAGTCTAATGCTGATTATGAAGGTACACCAGACTCACTTTGATTCTTCCAATAAGAAAAGAATTCCCGAATTTGTTGATGAAGGCCTCAGATTCAATACAGAGACCTAAATCAAGTGATGAGGTAGTGCTGCCTTGGGTCAAGAGGGTGACAACAGGACTCTGCACCATGCCACAAAAGAAGAAGAACCCAATCATGACTGTCAGACAATTTCTGCAACTACATCTCTTCCTATATCTGGCCACCTAACTCCCCAGACTGCAACCCCATTGATGATTATATGTAGGGCACAGCTGATCAAGAGACCAACAAAACTTCTTGTAACACCAAAGATGAACTGAAGGCAAAGATTATGTCAGCAGTCACAAACTTAAACAAGGAAACTGTCCAGAAGAGTTACAGGAGACTCCGAAATTATCTGGAGGTCATCATCAAAGTGAATGGCGATTTTATTGAATAAATTTACTCTTTAGTATTTCAAGATATTTTTCTGTAATTTTCGTAAATGTATCTGTTAAAATGAGATGTCAGTGTTATTTTCATTTTTGCACAATTTAGATAATTTATCCATCACATCCTGTGTATATATGAATATATATGTGTGTGTGACACATTTTAGGACTTCATCAGACTAAAGCAATGTTTACGTTGTTGTGATTACAGATGTGCATGGAGAAACAGAAAATGCTGAGAATTTTTTATTCAATTTTCATATTTTTTAAAAAAATATATATGTTTTGTATATCCAAATATGTTGCTTACATATTTTCTACAATCATCAATGATGGCCTATGTTATGTTCCAGTTTATTATGGCATGAAAAAATAATTCACCTACCTCCACACTCTGAGCTTACTTTGCTATTTAATGTAGATCTGACATTTAATTGGTTAATCAAGACATACCCACAAGTCTATTTTTAATTCTGATTTTATGTTCCCCCTGCCCTTCAGGTGCAGAGAATACACAAAGATTGCAGGAAATGCATGAAACTCTGAGTCATGTTATCAGGATTGAATATTATGCATATTTCCTAATATATACTTATAGTTCAGTCACATTACATTTAGCAATGTATTTATATGTATGTACAAGAATATGTGTGTGTATGTATATTTTTATCTTACTCATACCTATATATATATATATATATATATATATATATAGGAGGCATGGTGGAGTAATGAATAGCGGCTTGGATTGAGGAATCGGAGAGCAGAGTTTGAATTCCAGTCGAATCCATTACATTCACTTACGTGCTAATACCCTTGGGAAAGGTATGAATCCTCTTTTTCTCCCTCCAGCTATGGGTACATAGCAGGACAGACTGGGTTCTATAGCCTTGGATGGCAGCTGGTCTAGGAGAAGGACAACTCTGAATTCAAAACCTGTGGAGGGTCATTTGGGGACCTTGTGGCACTTAGTGCACCAGGTCTCTGTATTCAGCCCTTTAAAAAGTGTGGATGGTCCTGCACGAAGACTTCACCACTATAATCAAATCTCATGTGCCATTGTCGGGCTGTCGGTTTCCTGGGAACTGATCTGCTTGACCCTTATACGTAGAACTTGAGTAGAGAGTCGACTATATATATATAAAAACCCTTGTTTCTCACTCCCACACATACACTCTCACTGGAATTTTGTTTTTTATACCTGGAGTTATAATTTCTGATTTCTTTTTGAATTTGTAGGTCTGATGAATTGGATCTTGATTACGATTCCAATGTAATGAATTATAACCATGGAATATTAGTGTTTGAGCCTTTTATATTATATTCTTGCTCTGTCCTGGACATTGAGCTCTACTTGGATTCTACCCTCTTGGAAATAAATATATATATATTTTGACCACTGATATATCTATCTCTCTCTCTCTAATTAAATCCTATTTACTCCCTTTTGTTTATTAGGCAATAAATTACATCACTTAGCATCCTCCATAGTTTTCATTTCTTTAAACAGCAAGCTTTAAGAATATTTTAGAGCTTCCAAAATTCAAAATTTGAAAACTTTATGATATTGGTAAAAGAGAAGGAGGAGAGAAGTGATAAAGGAGAAAGTGGGAGAGAAGTGGTGAAACAGAAGGTGAGAGTGAAGTGGTAAAAGAAAGGAATGGTAAAACAGAATGGGAGAGAGAAGTGGTAAAACTGAATGTAACAGAGAAGTGGTAAAAGATATGGGTGAGAGAAATTGTAAAATGAGGAGAAAAACAGTAAAAGAGAACAGGGAGGGAAATGGAAGAAAAGGGATAGAGAAGTTGTAAGTGAAAAGCAGAAAAAGAGAAGGGATTTAAAGAGGGAGTGGAGGGTGGTCATGGGAGATATATATATATATATATATATATATATATATATATATATAGCATGAAAAGTGAGAGAATAAATGTTTCTAATTCTCTGAAAAATTACAATATTCTAATGCAATTCAACAAAATATTAATTCAGAAAACGTTCAGATTGTTTCATCAGAAACAAATGACAGCCAAGGTACAAATACACAGAGACAACTCAACATGGCTTCTCCTTCTTGAATATTTTGAGCCACTGAGGTGGGAGCAAAGCTGAAGTAAAACTTTCAATAACAAAAAAACAATGTATACACAGTGTGTGAGGGGAAAGTCAAGTTTTTTTTTCTTTTGCCTGCCCAAGAGAAGCAACTATCAAAGATAATTATGATAAAAAAAAAAGTTCTGTGTTATTACCACAATGTTGAAGATACGCACTGCCATGAGAAAAAGATTGGTTGAATATGTTTGATACTGAAAACAAATGTTCTGTAAGAAAGTATTAAATTTGGGTAACGGAAAAAAAACATCCAATTGAATTGCAAAATGGTGAATGGACAAATAGAGGAAGAAGTTAAAAGCTTTTTCTATGAATAACCATTTCCTTAGAGAATAGAAACAGCTGGCTGAAAATCACACAGGCTGTTAGAAAGTGATACAACAGACAAATTCTACAAATTGTCAGTAAATATCAATGATGTATAAGGGGATAGAGGTGCTAAAAAGTTCTCAGCCTGACCAAGTAGGATTAAAAGTTGATATGTGAGAGAACTTTTCAGCACCCTTCCCATACAACTTTTTAATGCCATTTCAGGACCTTGGTGATTCTCCACTTATTATATTTTTTCAGTCTCTGTAAACCACCATGATTTCTTGGGAAAGATAACGGAGAAGGTTCCTATTACACTCTCCAGTTTTGAATTCAGAAGAGATCTCCTAGACTAGCTACCATTTGAGGCTAGAGAGACCAGTCTACCTTGTTATTTAATTTATTGTTTTTAATAGTGTTTTTTTTTTTCTCATACTCTCTAACACTCAGTAACCCCTTGTGTATTAGCGACCTTATTGCCTTGCTTGGGATGAAATGATTGGAAAAAGGTATTTAGTGAAGAAGATAGGGATTCAGGTCTTTCCCAAGGGCATAAATTCAAAGGTGAATGCAAGAGATTAGGCCAGAATTTTGACTCGAATCATTAATTTTCTTTTCAGCAGTGATGATCATTAAGCAACATGTACATCCTTGAATTTACCTATAAACAAATTAGTTCTTGTTTTTAATACAGTCCCTCTTCCTAGGTTGTGCATTATAGTGCAATGTAATTGGAATGAGAATTTGGAGAGCCGAGTTCAATTTCTAGTCAAGTTTGTTACATTCACTTATATACAAATATCCTTGGGAAAAGTATGAATCAATCTCTTCTTCAGGAAATTATGGGGAGGCATGATCACCTACATGGCATATAAAAGAAGGAGGTGATAGTTCCACAGAATGTGATTGTTGACTTGATTTTTATGGCTTATCAACCCTTTGTGGATTATTTAAAGCCGAAACATATTTCAGATTTTAGGGTGGACACTTAAAGTAAATGGTGTTCCCAAATGGTCCCCCACGAAAGTACTTACTGGACTTGCCATTGCTTAACTTCAGTGATATATATTGACGATACCAAAGTCCTGTTGTTTGAACAGTATGGCAAAATTAATTTTCAAATATCAGGTCATTCAGGGCTCATAAGTAAGCCTCTTGTTTTTAGGATTATTCTATGTTCTTTATATATATATATATATATATATATATATATATAAGCAATTAAGGGATTTTTTAATTTAACAATATTTCTTATTATATATATTTATTATAGTGGTTCTGTTATAATCATGATCCGCATGTTCTATTGTTGGGATCTTTGGGGTTGGTTGCACTTAGTCTGTGTTGTCATCTTTGACCTTGCCACCAAGGGTGACCCTACCAGGAGTTTAGAACTTCCAATCACTCTCAGAGTCACTAGACCATGCAAGCCCTTCCACCATAACAAGGAGCAACCCTCAGAGGATAACAGGCAAATTGTAGAGCATTCCATATTATTAGCTATTTGGTCCTTATATATAACGAGGAATAAAGTGAAAAAATTGGAAATACCATTTAAAACTACAACCCCCTGAAGACTGAAAATTTTACCAAGAAACATCGATGTTGAGTTAAAATTGATATTTAAAAGTTAAGTCTTCATATAATATATATATATATATATATATATATATATATATATATATATATATATATAGCATAATGAGAAGCCACATATACTTTCTTAATATGTATATATAGAAAAAGTTTCAAATTAAAAATAATAATGTTTTATTTTATGAAAGTATTTATTTATTTATATATATATATTTGATATTTCAAATTGTCCTCAATTTTTCATCAGAAATAACTGTTTGTTACAAATAAATTAAAATTACTGTTTGTTAGTAAGTAGAGTCCTTGGCGAGACGCCTTGACGTCACGTGATATGGAACGTCACTGTTGGGATATTTCTAACTTAAATCTAACTGTCATAAATATTTTAAATGTTGTTCAAAAAAAATGTTTTTACTATATCTAAAAAAATTGCTTAACTATTGAAATATTTATAAAGATTTAAAACACCTAAGTCCCTATTCAACGCTAGTTTATGTGTATTTAATTTTAAAATCCAATATGTTTCTTTTTTTTGCGTGTGAATTTTTAATTTGAAACTTTTATATATATATATATATATATATATATATATATATATATATAGTGGCTGTTGACTCACAAAGCGGGTATGACCATCACTGACATGTCTAGTCCATCAGTTAAACTCTCCCCCACAACACTGCATTTATTGGTTGTGTGAACGACAGTGGCTCATAAACAATCTGCATTTCTTGTTACATATATCATCTCTGGCTGGTGGAAGTTGACTTTGAACATCAACACTTCCAATGTGTCTTTTTATATGCCTTCTCAGGACCGACCTGGACTTGGACACTCTAATGCAAGTTGGGCATTCAAAACATGCCATTACAAAATCCTCATATGCTGTTGATGTTGGTGTGATTTCTGGTGACTGAGCAGACCTGCCCCGAACATACGTATTTGAGTGCATTGGGCACATGGCCAGGTTGGCACCTCATGGCAATTCAGGGATCCCTTCCAAACCCCTCTCTTCAGTTCTGCATATTTTTGTGATGCCTCATGGAAGATCTTGATGCCATCAGCATTACCAGCTCTCCAAGAAACCCAGTCTTTCATTAGAGTCTCCCAGTTTTCCAAACCAATATTGCACTTGTATAGTGACTCTTTAAGGCAATCTTTGTAACAAAGTTTCCGCTTATGCTGTGGTCTTTTTCCCATTCCCAATTCTCCATACATTAATTGTTTTGGCATTCTGTCATCTGACATACAAATAACATGTCCTGTCCATCGCAATTTGTATTTGTGTATAATTGCTTCCACAGAAAGTGAATTGACCCTTTGTAGAACAACAGTAACATGGGCGTGAGACATCTGGTTGATTTCAAGGACAGACCAAAGGCACCGTTGACAAAAACATACCAGTATCTTCAAATGTCTGATAGACTACCCATGTCTCACATCAATATAGCAGAGATGACATAATGCAGACATTATATATTTTGATTTTTGTCTATATTTTTATGCCCTTCTGAATCCAGACACAGAACTTGAATGCTGCTAATACATTGGTGGCCTTCTTAATAAGTAACACTATCTCATCATCAAGGGAGCAGTGGCGGTTGAGGGTGCTACCAAGATATACAAATTTGTCTCCTACCCCAAGTCAACTACCATCATCATAAATTGATGGCTCTATATACTGAATTCCTCGGGCAGGTTGATACATCACCACCGTCTTGTCAAGGCTGATGGACAGTTCAAAAGCCTTACATGACCCTGAATTGTGTGTGTGACCAGATCACAGTCATCGGCATAAAGAAGATTGCGCACTAAACTAAAAAAGACTTTTGTCTTTGCTGCAAACCTACGTATGTTGAAAAGCTTGCCAGTTGACCTGTACCTTATCATAATACTGTCATGGCAGTTCACAAAAACGTCCAGAAGTACAATTGCAAAGTAGATAGAAAACAATGTAGGAGCCAGAAGATCTCCCTGCTTGACTTCATTTTCAACCTTGATGGGCCTCATAAGTATACCGCCAAAACTCACACAAACTTCCATACCATCATGGAAGGACCTCAAAATCTTGAGAAAGTGTGTGGGGGGGGGGCATCCCAATTTTGAGAGGATTTACCAAACAGCAGCACAATTAACAGTGTCAAAAGTCTTCCTCAGATCTATAAATATTTGATAAAGGTCCAGTTGTTGTTCATAACTCTTTTCCTGGATTTGTCATGCTGTGAAAATCATATGTGCAGTCCTTCTGTGTTGGCAGAAACCACACTGTGACTCAGGCAGTATATTGTCAACTATTCTCTGGTTTAATCTTAATAGAACAGAGGTTAAGGTCTTACCTGTAAAAAAAAAGGAGAGCAATCCCTCTATAATTACCACATAATTCCCAGGCATCTCAACCTTATATATAGGTATCATTGTTGCATCACTCCAATCTTTTGGCACTTCTCCATCTATCCAAATCTTTATAAGAAGATCATGAATAAGTTAGATGTGTTCCACCATAATGGAATATCCCAGCAGGAAGGCCATCAACTCCAAAAGGTCTGCCCATGTTGAGTCTCTCCATGCCAAGCAGAGCCTTGCCCAGCAATGATTGGCTGTCAAGTTCTAACACTATGGGTCTTTGGGATATTTTCTTAAGAACTTCAGGGTCCACATTTGAAGGCCTATTCAGTAGC